GCTCTTTCTCGACTAATGTTTCAGTGGCCCTATCTCGACTAGTGTTTCAGTGGCTCCTTTCTCGACTAGTGTTTCAGTGGCTCCTTTCTCGACTCGTAATTCAGTGGCACTTTTCTCGACTAGTGTTTCAGTGGCTCCTATCTTGACAAGCGTTTCAGTGGCTCCTTTCTCGACTAGTGTTTCAGTGGCTCCTTTCTCGACTAGTGTTTCAGTGGTTCCTTTCTCGACTAGTGTTTCAGTGGCTCCTTTCTCGACTAGTGTTTCAGGGGCTCCTTTCTTGACTAGTGTTTCAGTGGCTCCTTTCTCGACTAGTGTTTCAGTGGCTCCTTTCTCAACTAGTGTTTCAGTGGCTCCTATCTCGACCAGTGTTTCAGTGGCTCGTTTCTCGACTAGTGTTTTAGTGGCTCCTTTCTCGACTAGTGTTTCAGTGGCTCCTATCTCGACTAGTGTTTCAGTGGCTCCTATCTCGACTTGTGTTTCAGTGGCTCCTATCTCGACTAGTGTTTCAGTGGCTCCTTTCTCGACTAGTGTTTCAGTGGCTCCTTTCTCGACTAGTGTTTCAGTGGCTTCTTTCTCGACTAAAGTTTCAGGGGCTCCATTCTCGACTAGTGTTTCAGTGGCTCCTATCTCGACTAGTGTTTCAGTGGCTCCTATCTCGACCAGTGTTTCAGTGGCTACTTTCTCGACTAGAGTTTTAGTGGCACCTTTCTCGACTAGTGTTTCAGTGGCTCCTTTCTCGACCAGTATTTCAGTGGCTCCTTTCTCGACTAGTGTTTCAGTGGCTCCTTTCTCGGCTAGTTTTTCAGAGCCTCCTTTCTCGACTAGTGTTTCAGTGGCTCCTTTTTCGACTAGTGTTTCAGTGGCTCCTTTCTCGACCAGTGTTTCAGTGGCTCCTTTCTCGACTAGTGTTTCAGTGGCTCCTTTTTCGACCAGTGTTTCAGTGGCTCCTTTCTCGACCAGTGTTTCAGTGGCTCCTTTCTCGACTAGTGTTTCAGTGGCTCCTTTTTCGACTTATGTTTCAGTGGCTCCTTTCTCGACTAGTGTTTCAGTGGCTCCTTTCTCGACTAGTGTTTCAGGGGCTCCTTTCTCGACTAGTGTTTCAGTGGCTCCTTTTTCGACCAGTGTTTCAGTGGCTCCTTTCTCGAGCAGTGTTTCAGTGGCTCCTATCTCGACCAGTGTGTCAGTGGCTCCTTTCTCGACCAGTGTTTCAGTGGCTCCTTTCTCGACTAGTGTTTCAGTGGCCCCTATCTCGACTAGTGTCTCATTGGCTCCTTTCTCGACTAGTGTTTCAGTGGCTCCTTTTGCGACTAGTGTTTCAGTGGCTCCTATCTCGACTAGTGTTTCAGTGGCTCCTTTCTCGACTAGTGTTTCAGTGGCTCCTTTCTCGGCTAGTGTTTCAGTGGCTCCTTTCTCGACTAGTGTTCAGTGGC